TCGGTTTTCTGTGGAACACAGGAAAGCTAGATTTTTTCAAAAACAAAGCTGGAAATAATTTTGAATGGTGTCTCAGGTAAACAAAACTTCAATAGAAATCAAACTGGCTTCTTCAAGTAGCAGCTGGAGGGCTTACAGCCTCAGAGAAAAAATACTAGCTTCAAGTGATATAACATTTTCTTCCTTTAGTGTAGCATCCTGCTACTGGATAGCTGAACATGTCCATTTAAAAAGCTTTAGACAAAGTTCCTCACAGAAGGTTCCTGAATAAATTTTACAGCTATGGCCTAAGAGTTTGCATCCTCTTACGGATTTGAAACCGGTTAAACAGGAAGGCAAAATCAAGAATAAATGGACAAACCATAATGATGGGATGTAAGGTGTGAGGCCTGGCAAGGTTCTGTACCAGAATTAGTTCTTTTTAACTTGATCTATAAAATTTGGAATTAGAGGCATGTGGTAAAGTGGTTAAATTTGCTGATGACACTAAGCTGTTTAGGACAATAAAAACAAAAGCAAACAAAAAGGACTGAAAGGATCTCTCTGATCTAGATAAATGGAAACTAAAACGGCAAATGTAGTTCACTGTAGGCAAGTGTAAAATGATACACAAAATTCCTGGTTTCACATATATACAGACAGGAAAGCTTGAACTGGTATTGACTGCCCAGAAGAGAGATCTAGTAATCTTGGAATTGTGAATGACTTGATTAGTGACCTATTGTTTGGCAGCAAAAAAGAAAAAAAATCCACAAGATGTGATGTCCACCAATATGGACAGGTTTAAGTAAGGGGCTTGGGCAAATTCTTGAAAGACTGCTAGTGACTCCTAATCCTGGTCGGCTGTTTTCAGTACGAGGGGAAGTTCTGCACTAGTTGCTGGGGAACATGCGTAGGAGCTTCTGTTGCCCTCCTGTCCTGCCTCCGGGTTCCTACAGGCTGCTGGCCGGCCACTGTGTGGATAGAATTCTGGGCCTGATAGATCTTATGTTCAAATTCCATGCCACTGCTCATTAGGGGGGGATCAGAAATAAAACTGCCAATGTTGTAGTACCTTATGCAAACCTATATTATAACTATAATTATGCATCTCATTTCAGACAGGGTCATTGAGCTGGAAATGACAAGAAAGCATCGTGCAAAATGATGAGAGGGCTAGATCAGTTCCCCCATGAGGGAAGGTTACACATTTTGAAGCTTTTTAGTTAAGAAAAAAGGCAAGTAAGGGGGAGGACTGTATTACTGCAACCTTTCCAAGGGAGCTGAATGGTAGATTCGGGACAGATAAAACTTTTTCATACCACTATCGAATTCACAATGTGATTATAGATATGATGTTAGAAGATTTAAAAGTTTGCATACAGGAATGGCTGTTTTACCTTTGGTGTCAGAGGCAGGTGAGCCTCGGTAGGCCGGCTGCAGGGAACACAAATGGCCATTGTGCTTGGCTCTCAGGTTCTGCTTGTGAGCATCCTGCAGGCACCTGCAGTTGTCCACTTGAGTAGTCTGGGCTGGATCATTCTTTGGCCTGAGCCACTGAGGGTCTTCTGTTCTCACCATGCTGTGTGTTTGATGGCATTGTTCCCGGGCAGCCACAGTTGCCTGTAATACTCCGCTCCAGGCCTTGCAGGGTTTTAGAGAGCCCTGAAAATGGGAAGAACTCATGTACTAGTTCTTGAACAGAAGTCTAGGAGCACACAGGACCAAAGGTTCCTCTGTCTGAAGATTATCTGTCTGCTCCATTATCTTTAATCCACTAAGGGAAAACTTTGCTCTACCACTGTTACAAGGCCTTGGAACACAAACATGAACTCCTGTACATGTCTATTTGAAACAAGTGTGCTTGGGATCGCTGCCACCATCTAATGATTCCTCCCATTTTCAGTTGTTCTGTTTATTTTTAATGTATGTTAAATTTTTATATTGTGTATCAGCACTGTGCCTTATTTCACAGGATATGCTCAGAAAGGCAAGATTCACAACTTCACAGGCCACCAGAGACTCCTATATAGCGTGTACACTTCTTCCTGAGATCAGGCTAGCCCATAAATGTACCCTCTACAGGAGTGAAAACACAACCATTATGTTGTACATTTCCCCCACATCATCTGAGAATTTCTTATGTAGAGTTAATTGCAATATCAATGTGAATTGATACATTTGACCAGTTGCTACATAAATATCCACTCGTTTCCCTACAACAGACTAATAGGTAATTTTTTAAATGATTTTGAAGCCAATTTCTCCAGCATACTATTATTCTTTTCCAAGTCACGGTAGTTGTTTGCAAAAGCAAGTTCAGAAGGTCCCTATTATGTAAACTAAGCAAGAGCACATTCTAAAATGGTTAGTATAACCATAAACACATTACGGACAATAGGCCGTGCACAATACTAGCTACAACCCAACACATACTCAAATGCAGTGGGTTTTAAGTACCATCTAGAAGATTAATAGAAATATGCAAATACTTTGTTCCACAATATTTTCTTTAGGAATGAGCTAGCACATTTAAACTCAGAAATGCTGAATAGATTTCTCCCTTTTCTACACACTTAAAAGAATATGGAGACTTCACTCTGATACCCACTGACCTAAGAGCAAGGCACACTGAATTCAGGATTTGTTTCTGAGTGGACGTGCGTAGGTTTCCAACAAAATATGGTTTAAAGAACAAGTGCCCATACCTTGTTAGTAGCAGTGGATGCCACCTGTTCATCAGATCAGTTTTTTCATATAAATCAAAAAGGACATGCACACATCTGGTACGTAGTGAAATGTTCCGTATTTAAGGACATTGCATAATCCAGATAATTTGCATGAAATAGGAACACAAGATAACACTGGGAAGAGGGAACTTCTCAGTGGTATAGAGTTGAGTAACTTAGGAAACCAGGGAGTTGCTGTCTGCTGGATATGTAGATTTGCCAACCCCTGACAATAATGGAGCAAAATGACTCCATTGGAAAACTCAACAGTGGCCACAGGATTGGAAAAGGTCAGTTTACATTCCCATCCCAAAAAAGGCAATGCCAAAGAATGTTCAAACTACCGCACCGTTGCGCTCATTTCACATGCTAGCAAAGTGATGCTCAAAATCCTACAAGCTAGGCTCCAGCAGAATGTGGACCGAGAACTATCAGAAGTACAGACAGAATTTTGAAGAGGGAGAGGAACTAGAGATCAAATTGCCAACATACGCTGGATCATGGAGAAAGCTAGGGAGTTCCAGAAAAACGTCTACTTCTGCTTCATCGACTATGCCAAAGTCTTGTGTGGATCACAACAAATTGTGGCAAGTTCTTAAAGAGATGGGGGTACCAGACCATCTTATTTGTCTCTTGAGAAACCTATATGCGGGACAAGAAGCAACAGTGAGCACTGGACACGGAACCACTGATTGGTTCAAAATTGAGAAAGGAGTTCAGCAAGGCTCTATACTGTCACCCTGCCTATTTAACTTATATGCAGAGCACATCATGAGAAAGGCAGGTCTAGATGAATCACCAGTTGGAATTAAGATCGCTGGGAGAAATATCAACAACCTCAGATATGCAGATGATACCACTCTAATGGCAGAAAGTGAAGAGGAACTAAAGAGCCTCTTGATGCCAGTGAAGGAGGAGAGTGCAAAAGTTGGCTTAAAACTCAACATTAAGAAAACTAAGATCATGGCATCCATTCCTCTCACTTCCTGGCAAATGTATGAGGAAGAAATGGAGGTAGTGACAGATTTTATTTTCAAGGGCTCCAAGATCACTGCAGACAGGGACTGCAGCCAAGAAATTAAAAGGCGCTTGCTCCTGGGGAGGAAAGCTATGGCAAATCTAGACAGCATACTAAAAAGCAGAGACATCACTCTGCCAACAAAAGTGCATATAGTCAAGGCTATACTTTTCCCAGTTGCAATGTATGGCTGTGAAAGTTGGACCATAAGAAAGGCTGAGCACCAAAGGATTGAGGCCTTTGAATTGTGGTGCTGGAGCAGACTCCTGTGAGTCCCTTGGACTGCAAGGCGATCAAACTGGTCAGTCCTTGAGATCAACCCTGACTGCTCTTTGGAAGGCCAGATCCTGAAGATGAAACTCAAATACTTTGGCCACCTAATGAGAAGGAAGGACTCCCTGGAGGAGAGCCTAATGCTGGGAACAATAGATGGCAAAAGAAGAAGGGGATGGCAGAGGATGAGGTGGCTGGATGGAGTCACTGAAGCAGTTGGTGTGAGCTTAAGTGGACTCCTGGGGATGGTGGAGGACAGGAAGGCCTGGAGGAATGTTGTCCATGGGGTCGCGATGGGTTGGACACGACTTCGCGACTAACAACAACAACAACATAATGTATTTTATCTAGCTAGACTGCTTTTGGTGAAAAATTATTTTTACTGTGATACACTGGTCCATATCTGGATTAAGGATAGCAATCTCTTTCATCCTCTAGATATGAATGACTAATATGAAGTTATATACTGAGGATGTGATTCTATATCAATTTTTAAAATTTTATTAATTAGATGTATATTCCGCCTTTTTCTTTTAAAGAACTCAAAGTGGTTTACATACAACATTCTCTTCCTCCTGCTCTCAGTCTTATCCCTACAACAACCACCCTGTGAGATGATTTGGGCTGAAAGGCTGTGATTGGCCCAAAGTCACCCAGTTGGCTCCACATGGCTGAGGTGGGACTAGAGCCCAGACCCTTAACCACTATACCATACTCGCTCCTTTTGAAGTAATGCAATTATGTTTTGTCTACCATGTGAACTGCTTGGTTATGACAAGAAGGAAAGAAGTAAGATCCAGACAATAATAGACCACCTAAATCATTGGGATTTAAGTCAGATATAACTAATGTAAATCCTACTGATTTCAATGGATCTACTGTAAGCCATGGCTTAACTCTAGAACCAACCTGATGTCTCCTCCTCTCCACTCACACAAACATAGCAGTTTTATTAGTAAATGAGTAGACACCAGAACACTATTGTAAATGTAACTCAACAATAAAAAGATCCATGACACTTTTATTTCATTAAGAGAGATATGTTTTACAGTCATTCTTCACTTCACCCAACAGTTCATTCAGGCACATATCAAAGTTTATTTTTCCCAATACAGCCTTGGACAGACATACCCAATTCAGGTATAAGGTAACAAACATTACAACTTACTCACATGTATGGTCATTTAAAAGTAAACCCCACTGGTTTCAGTGCAACTTGTTCCTAGGGGGCATTAGACTGAAAGTTTCATCTCATTTCATATCTTTGCAGAAAGGGATGGCTTCTAACCTGAACAGAAACATAAGTGCCCCCGATTTGTACCACATCATATTAAGCCACATGCTCTGTACATTATCCACACAGGTGTAAACCAGTTAAATCACAAGTACCAATACAGAATCAGTTTTCCTCAGAAGAGACTTCGGACATGAAAACTTGTAGTTTTTAAAACATTCAGTGACAAGAGAGAATGAGTCAACAGGCAGAATAAATCCTATTATGGAAAGCACCTTATACAGGACATGGCTAAAACAGAACACTGCTAGTGTCCCTCTGTTAGTTGTGCAATGTACTTCTTCAGACTTACTTCAATGGAACATACGACCGAACAAGAACAGATCTTTATTTGCATCCATCACCTCTAAGTGTTTAGTCATATGCATGCACTGTACCTGTGGGGAAAAATGACACCTTGCATGCAACCACCGCTGGTATTAATTTACTGTTTAAGAATCAAATTTGTTACACATATTGATTTTTACTAGGAAACTTCTGGAATTGCACACTGGGAGGCAGTGACACATGTTATCAATCAATTCTTACATCCCCAGTTATGACAGAGCCCTTAGCTAGTGAACAAAGTTGTTAAAATTGCTATAGTAAAAGACCCACAGTTTAAAGAATCTAAAGTTCAAAATATTTTCTTTATGATTATCAAAGAGAAACTAACAACATATGCAAACTTTTAGACTTATATGAACATTTACATAGACGGTACCTATAAAAATACCTTGTGTCAGCTCTACCAGTCCTTTAAATATGGTAGACTGCCAACATTTTAAAAATAGAATGGTGTGGAACATACTCCTCTCAGAGATCACACAGGGAAGTTAAGGTTAGCAATGCTTAGCTTATTTTAAAGAAATTTGTAACGGTATTCTATTTTAGACATTCTGCACTGCAGAATTGCCAATTTCTATAATCTTTGCTACAAGATTAAACATCTAGAACTGTAGTGCAGCAATACTTTCAAACATTTACTTTGCTATAATAAATTACATGTTGGCAAAAAGATGGAGACACCATTGGTCTGCATCCTACTGAATGTGAGCGGGAAAGCTCAGTACGCTCCTTTGTATGGTGCAATGTTTAACACAAGGCAGATATAACTATAACCTTAAAATTGAGGATGCACTTTTTTCAGCTATCGTTTATAGAGAAGCACCAAATACTGTGGCAGATTGAATATCAGGCTGTTCTTATGATTTAGTTTCATCCACCAAAGATTCTAGACAGTATCATTTATGTTTATGTAAGCAGTTTGACTTTATAGTTTTCATCACACTCCTATCACCATGGTTTTGGCAGAAAGCAAGGAAGCTTCAGAATCCATTTTTCCAACTTCTGTTAGTATCATATGCATTGCTTGGATTTAATCAAAGCTGCTGTTACTTTTTGCTTAAGATCAAGAAGTTTCAGACATTACATTGAGTGGATACGCAAGCAGCCACCTTGCCATGGTTCTACCATCATGTCCAAGAAGGAAAATTGCCAATAAATTCAGTATGAGGGTTTGCAAAATTTCCCTTGTAGTTTAAGGAACATCCAGGATAGCATCTGAAGCTTCTTTCAGAACCAACAGTAGTGTTTATATCCATGGTTTTAGAACTACATTATTTAGATCAGTTCCAAAATAATGGATAAACCATTTGAGAAACACACCTTAGCAAGATTTGTTTATTTGGCAGTATTTTAGTTTCACAGTCACAGCAGCATCTGAGGGCCTGCCCCAATATCCTTGTAGTTTGAAGACAAAGTGCTAGTGACAGAAGCCAGGCCATCACATTTTATAAAAATTGCTGACTCTGAAACAGACATTTTGTGATGTTAGTGACATTTCCACTTTTTAAACCATTTCTTTATAATACTATTATTTTCCTCCCATAAAATAAAAAGTATTTTAAGTGTTAAACTATATGGATGCATGTGTGATTTTCTAGACACACATTTATTGGCTCTTTTAGAAAAGGGAATTGTTAAGTGACATACTTGCCAAACAGAACATAAGAAAGTTTCTAAGAAATTCTGTAACAGACTTCAGCAAATAATGCATGTGCTTTTAGATTTCCAAGTGTTGCCTTAGTGTACTGACTTTGCATAAGCCCGCACAGGCACATACATTTAATACTCAGTAACAGGTAATTCCATGTACAACTGTCCTATCTTACCCCACTGAGATCTTCATGCACATACGCGGTAATGTATCCACAGGTGTACCAGGGAGCATGCAAAATTGTCTAAGCTCCTGATCTCTGGCTTGGAGCACGTCTGCTCCGAAGTGCTGAGAGATCTGATTCATAAGAACATAGCACAAGAATTTTTTTCTAGCTCTCTCAAACGTTTTCTTGAGAATGAAACATACCCTGCATCAAGAAAATTTATGGTTAAGCACTAGCACTAATCTTCAGGGGAAATTCAAACAGCAGATGTTATCACCAACTCAGATCCAACATGCAAGTCTGTGCCTTCAGCATCCCTTTCAAAGCCAATGTGCCTCCCATTGGCAAGAATGAAGAAAAACCCCTTCCACACCCCAGATAAGGAGAAAGTCTTGCTACAGGCATGAGACTACTGTTCTTTTGTAATGATTCAGCAAGAAACTATTTCATTAACATCTTTACAAATTAAATATCCAGTTTTAGCTCAGCTAGACAGCTGCTCAGAGCCCTGTCTCACAACAAATTCAAGTTGACTTTCAGCACTTCCCCTTCTAGGGCAGTACATTCGACATGTAAAGCATGTTCAGAAAAGAACACTTAAATGTATTAAATGTAGGCATTTAGAAAAGTGTTAGATGGATTCAACCTTTTACTAATTAATGGCACAACTTTTACTAACTTTAGTAATCACAAATACAGCCTATAATGTTGTTATCCTTTGATATTTTAGGAGAAATATTTATATTTTGTATGGTTCAACACATGCCTCTTAGGGCCAAAACTGGATGTTCAAGGTAAAAATGAAGTTCTCAATGCTATGCTTCACTTAATATGCAAATACAGAGAGATAACACACTTGCAAGGAGACTGCAAATAGTTGCTTAACTCTTTCACTTAACTCTTTCCCTCAGCTCCTTCCTGGACATTTCCCCTCTGCCTGGTTTTTCATTTTCTCCAGCTGCACTCTTAAAACTGCAAAGCTGAGGAAAAATGTGGGAGCAAAGGAAAATTGGGAGGTGCAGGACAGCTTGATGATCCCCAATTGTTCACCTAACCTTTTGTATAAAAGCCACTCATACCTGTTTTCCTTTTAATCTGTAAACATACACATAGGACCACACATTTGGTGAAAATGCCTAATGTGGCTCTTGTAGATACAGTTCTCACTGTGTGATAAACCACTTCCATATCTAAAAAGTTACCTCCTCCTATATAGATTTTCTATGCATCTTTTCAAAATTTCTGCAACATGTTTTCTCCCAATGTTTTCATTTTCTGTGTGCAGCAAATGTAACCATATTAAGGATCGTGTCACCATGCAGACCCCATCACACTGAAGCCCAAAACATGATTTACCACTTCAGTGAGAACTGAGCTGTACACACTCCAGAAATAGCAGCTCCTGGGTAACCAGAAATAAATTTGATCCATTTTAAAATAAAAGAGTATATTAAGTTCACTGAACCTCCCACTCCAAAAATCATTGCATGTATAGTCCTGGAGAATGTTTAATTCAAATCTCAAAAATTCTATTAAGAAAATTTATCCTATTTAGCCCAGTTTCTATTTAGTCATTAAAGGCCTTGCCTCTCCTAAATTATCTTAAAAAACTAAACAAAGCGAAAATAACCATCATCCTGGCAACTGATATATTACCAGAGGCACCACCTACCATGACCTATTCAGGTGTAACCAATAATCTTTATTCTAACCGAACACATTGGATTTAGGTCTGAGTTTGAAAGAGGCTTTCAGGGACTTTTCTTCTTGTCCTTCTTCCTCTGTATCACCCCGGAAAGACGGGGTCGTGTGGATGATTTGTGTCCGGAACCGGATTTTATTGAGCCGGGGTTTTATCCTGCCGCTGCCGGAGATCTTCCTGCTGAGTTCTCTGCCCTTGCCCGGGGCTCCCACGCCCTCGCCTGACTCCCCTTCATCCCCGTGGTGGAGGTGGGAGAGCTTGTAGGTGATGAGGTTGGAGGGGAGGACCTTGGAAAGCCTCCAGCGGCCGCTGCCGTTGGGCGCGGCGCTGTCGGCCTCCACCTGCAGGGCTCCGACCAGGCTGCGCACCTCCTCGGCGGTGCCCTGGCCCAGGTAGTGCGAGGCTTTGCGGCCGCTGTAGTCCCGAATGTCCACGTCGGCGTCGTAGGCGCCCACCAGCAGCTTCACCACCTCCAGGTGGCCGTGCACGGCGGCCAGGTGCAGCGCCGTGTAGCCGCTGCTGGTGCGCGCGTTGATGTTGACGGGCAGGCGGTGCCGGTGCGCGAAGTTGACCAGCAGGGCCAGCAGCTCGTGGCGCCCGTGCTTGGCGGCCCAGTGCAGGCAGGTGAAGCCCGTGATGAAGTCCCGCTTGGACAGCAGCGCCGGCTCGCAGCTCAGCAGCCCCTCCAGGCTCTCCCAGCGCCCGTCCGAGGCGCACAGCATCCACGCGTGCTCCAGCGGGTCCAGCGCCACCGACCCCCCGCCCGCGCTGCCGCTCTCGTCCTCGGCCGAAGAGGAGGCCAGCGAGGCGCTGTCCGAGTCTCCCCCGCCGCCGCCGCCGCGGCTGCCCCCGCTGCCGACGCGCGAGGGCAAGCCGCCGTGCTTCATCTGAGGGGAGCTCCCCAGCACGCGCTCCCGGAAGTTCTTGCGCCCGCACCTCGGGGTGTTGGTGATGGGGACACCGCCCAATGTGGCCGAGGAGGCGGTGCTGGCAGGCGGCGGCGAGCGCTCTCCGGGCTGGCCTTCTCCGCTGTCCCCACGGAGCTTCTCTTCAGCCTCGGCCGCTTCAGCGCCCTCCTGCTCCGTAAACCGCGGAGCGCGGCCTTTCTGCTGCTGCTGCTCCTCCTCCTCCCGACTGCCGCCCTCTCCTCCTTCTCCTCCGGGGCTCTCTTGGCCCGGCTGAGGCACCTGGCAGGCATCCGGCGAGGGCGCCTCATCCTGCGAGGGGGCCGAGTGTCCACGCTCCTGGCCCGGAGGGTCTCCCGCGGGGGTAGAAGCGCCGGGGACGCTCCCCGTCGCCTCCTCTTCCGCCCCCTCGTTCAGCGGCTGGGCAACGACTCCCGTCTCTGGGGCAGCATCCGCGTCTCGGCGGCAGCCGCTCCTGGTGCTGCTGCCATCGCCTCCACCTTGAGACTCCGGCGGGGGACGCGGAGGCTCCACGGCCAGCTCGGCGCTTGCGGACGCGTCCGTAGCAGCGGCGGCTTCTCCTGCCGCCGCCGCCTCCCCCGCGTGGGCTCCGGGGCTACTGCTGCCGGCGCCGCCGCGGTATTTCTTGCGCAACTGCACATACTTGGCCCCAGAGCCAGGCTCCTGGCGCACGGTGGCCACGGCGTTGACCATCTCCTTAAAGCGCTCGCGGGATCGCGCGCGGCGCTGGGGATCGGGCGAGTTGAGGAAGCCGCGGAAATGCTCCAACAGGTCCGCGTTGCGCGCCCGGCCGCCCCGCTCGGCCAAGAAGCGCAGCACCGCCTCCTGGGTCAGCTCCAGCGGCGCAGCCATCGGAGCCAGAGGAGAGCGGGCACCCGTCCTCGCGGCCGCCCGCGTTCAGCGCGGAATCCTCCTGCGCCGGCTCCATCGCATCGCTGCTAGCGTCATCCTGAACCGTCCCCGCCGCTTTAGCACTCGTCGGGCGGCGACATCGCAGGGCTCAAATCACGACTCCGTCGTCTTAACCGCTGCCGCCTTCTTTTTCCCCCCGCCTCGCCTTCATTATACTCCGCCAGGCGCTTGTCTCCTCCTTTCCCACGTGACGAGGGGAGGTGCCTATTAGCAGAGCTTAAACTTGCGGATGGAGAAAGCGGGGTGGCCCCCTCAGTAGACGGGCTTAATTCCTTCCAGTGAACGAACAGCTCTAGCCACACCCCTTTTGCCGTGGTGGGCGGGGCTGCTCGCTGGGGACCACGCCCCCCGCCCGTTTTAATATCCTCCCGCCCGTTGTCACAGGCTCCTCCTTGGCCAGCATCGTTTTCGCCGTCTCCTGGCGAAAGGCGATTGGCTGAGCTGTCGTCCCGCCTCTTTCCTTGCGAAGCCGCTCCCCGCCGCCGGTTGCATTCCAGCTGTTGGGATTGGAGTGGGGAGTCCTGCCGTCGCTCCTGCTCTCCCCCTTCCCTCCCTCCTTCCCTCCGCCTGTCTGCTCTTTGGCGCGCGTTGCCCCCTCCCCTCATGTCATGGCTTCCTCGGATGTGGCCCGGCAGATGGTAAGTCCCGCGCCAGCTGGGGAGGTGGGTGGCCGGTGGGGCCGTGAAGACCACCGAGGGCCACGGCCCGCCTGCATACTTCCTTTGGGAGTGAATTCTAACCTCTCGGGCTTCCTCGCGCGGAAGGAGGCGCGGGTTTGGTAAACTGCCCTCCAGGAGCGAGCGAGGCGCGCCTCGGTCCATTGATTTCCCTGAGGGGAGGGTTTGGGTTAGGGCTGTAAACTGACCTGAGAGCAGGGCTATGCTGGGAGTGATTTTCCTTTCCAAAGCCGCCTTTGTGGCTTCTCTTTCTTGGGCTGTCCTTTCATAGCGCCCGTCAGATCCCCGCTCTATAATTCTGTTCCTGTCCCCGTCATTGTCAGAAAAGTTTTTTCCAGGATTCCCAGCTTTCTGAAGGGAAAACAGCTCTTTTCCTTAATATGGGAACCCCCAAGGTCTTGTCATGATCTCACACAGACCAAAGCTGTTCAGGAAGCATCCTCATTCTGTGCATAAGAGGTTCTGCTGACCTGAGTAAAGACTTCACTTTCAAGTAAATGCGCCTAGGATTATGCTAAGAGATTGCTATAGAATGACACATAGTAAGCTCATATAAGCAATCCTGAAGGACATCAACCCTGACTGCTCTTTTGAAGGACAGATACTAAAGCTGAAGCTCAAATACTTTGGCCACATAATGAGAAGGAAGTATTCATTGGAAAAGAGCCTGATGTTGGGAAAGATTGAAGGCAAAAGGAGAAGGAGATGGCAGAGGATCAGATGGTTGGATGGTGTCACTGATGAAATGGACATGAATTTGGGTGAACTCCAGGAAACTGGAGGACAGGAGGGCTAGGCATACTATGATCCATGGGGTCCGTGAAGAGTTGGGCACAGTTGTGTGACTGAACAACAACAATAAGCAGATACCCTTATGTGGTATGCATATTTTTATTGTCCATGTTCATATACTGCTTGTTTGCCATTGGATGCACACTACAAATCTTTGCTACCTCATCATCTTTTTTCTGAAACACTTCTGGCATATTAAAGAGTACTAGATTTATTGTGGCATCACCTTGCTTGTTCTGGAGCCCAGCATGCTTCAATAGATGCACATTCTTGCCACTCTTTGGCTTCTCTGAGACCTTTTTAGCATTTCTCCTGCATTGCTGCCATAGATCCTTAGCTTCCCACTCATAATTAGCTCTTCCTGATATACTTGTTCTAGGATTAATGCCTGTTGCTTCCTGAGATAACACATCAGCTCTTTTCTTCTAGCCTCTCTATATGACTTCTTGTATCTACTGGGCTTTTTTGGTGGGTGTGTGTGGAGCAATACCAACCACATTGATATGAATAAAGGAATTACAGCACACCCCTGTGCAAACTTGCATGGTAGTAAGCCCCATTGAACATAGTGGAATAAACTAAAGATGCATAAGATGATGTTGTAAATGCTTTATTCAGGTCTAGTACCTCACAGTATGAAAATGTTAATTACCACTTCTTGATAAGGATGTCACACTCAGGAACCTAAAGAAGTTATGGGTTTCTGAGAAAAGATTTATAGTCTCCGTGTTTAGATGGTCTTCCTTCAGTTATGGATTTTCTTTGAATTAGCCGTTTAATTTTGTAAGTACTGATTTGAAAAAAAAGTTTAGTGCTCAGCTAATCTGTGCCATATACATGGAAAACTCAGGTTGTTTCTGCATGGTTTTATTCTCAAAACTTTGAGACTGTGTATCATTTCATAAGTTTCATTGAACTTCGTTGAATTTTCTTTTAAGTATGCACAGGAACAGACAGAAATTCTTTGTATGCCTACTTGAGAACAAAGTAGATGGAAACCATTTTTAAAAGATGGTTTTCTATTTGTTAAAAAACCTCAGTTATAATACCTTTAGTGATGTGGGGTGGATTTTTTTTTTTTGTTGCTATATTTCTCCATGGAAAAATTTCCATGCATACTGTATATGTCTGTTTTTTTATCCACAGTCATCTAGACCACTGTGCTACTATCAGTCATGTTAGATGGGCTAATATGGGATATGAACTAGTATAATTTTTTCTCTAAGTCAAACATCAGCAACCCTAATGCTCAGTTGCCTGTAGGGGATTTGAAAAATAAGCCCCTTTCTGGCTCCCAGCTGGACTGGGACCAAACTTACACATGGTGTATTTGCTCTCTGTTGCTAACTTCAATACCAAACTAAAGGGAAACTAAGACAGTGATTACTATTTGTTTCACTTAAGAGCATGAGAAGTGCTGTGTTGGATCAGACTTATGAGGGTCCGGAATTCTGTTCACACAGTGGCCAGCCAGTTGCCTGTAGGATCTCACAAACAGGACTTGAGTGCAATAGGTTCTGCCTAAGTTCCCAAGCCTGTGTCCATACAGCCACTTCCATCCTTTAATGGAGTAGAATGTTCAACTATGTGTTCTGAATCAGATCTTTCACAACTTGAATTGAAACCAATTGAGTGCGTGGCTGGATTCAGACAACATGACAAGCATGGTGGGTTTTTACCTTTCTGGTCTGTTGTGTTGTCTCAACCCAGCCACTGGTATTTCAGTCATGGTTTTTCTCCATGGTAAGTTTGGCCTTTAGAAACCATGATAAGAAACAATGATTTGTTGATGGTTGTGTTGTCTGAACTTAGGATCATGGTTTCTATAGTCCTGGTATGCAGCTACCACAGAGTCTTCTGGAAAGAGTGGCAACTTCAAGTACCACTCTAGCCATCCAGCTTCTATATGTGGACCGATGATAAACAGCCAGGTGACACAGGCAAGGAATGATGCAACTTGAGGTTGAATTTCAGGTACATTGACTGATGGATACATACCAACAGTGGGAGCAAGAAAAGCATGATCAAGTAGAAAACACTTGACTGTTTGTTGGGTAGATCATGGTAAAGTGTGAACCATGGTAATTATGCAGGGTTGCTTCTCGTGTTGTGTGAATGCAGCCAGTGAGTGAAGCTGCAGGTGCTACGGTTACCTCAGCAAAAGAAAATTATACTGTTGATATAAGACATACTGGCTCTTTTTGTGTATATATCCTAACAGTGTATTCTCTGAGATGTAGTCATTTTTGTTAAATGTAAGCAAACATCATGATGTATATACTATTGTCTTTACACTTTTACAAATATTTCAACTCAGTTATTTTCATATAAAGCTTTGAATGTGTTTTAATGTGACATTTAAACTATATTGTTTGGCTAATGTAATTTTCTCTTGTTTCAGTTCCACTATTTTGTAGCTATTGGGAAAACTTTTGATAGATTTATACTGTACATAAAATTGACTCTGATGGCATTTTTAGTTCTGTTTACTCAATGTGAAATGCTTTCAGTGCCAATTAAAGGAAAATGTGTGTGGGGGAGTAAAAATGAGTCTTTCACATGCTAAATCAGATAACATTATTTAGAGCATTGGGAAATTTTCCAGTTCTGCTTTTCCTGGGAAACCCAGTATCACTGAATACTGCTCAAAAACACATAGTTAATAGGAAATCTTAACTGAATGCAAAATATGTTAAAGTCTGCATTTCTCTTAAGGCCAAATTATAACCACCTTTCAAACATTGTTATGTAAAAGGGGGAGTAGTAGAAGAGGATTGCTATAAAATGACGAAGTTGTGTGCCTAAGTACTCGGGTGTGCAGCAAATTTGGATGTATCCTAAACACTGCCGAATAAGACTGATTTTAGAAAAATTCAGGAGATGTCCAAACTGTCCAAACTGAAGCGGGAGGTGCTCTGAAGCAGAATGAATGAAATCTCAAGCCTCTTGAAACTTGGTTGGTGATTTGGAAATTAGGAAGGTCACAGATAGACAGTGTATTTCTAAACAAAGATACGTTTCCCTGCAAACTCTTCAAGTGAGGAAAACACCATGGTGGGAAGTATAAGGTCTGGGGCATTGGCAGCAGGCATGGACAGGCAGAATGTTGGGACCAGGGCACTTGTGCCAAGTAGGGTTTGGTGACAAGAACAGGTTGATGCCAGGGGGAAATGCACAGTCCAATATTGAACAGAAAGTTAGCACAGTTCACAAAACTGATCCAGAAGTCAGGCACCGAGTGGGAGGGTCAGTTGTGTTTGAGAGTAGGCAAGGCTGGGGGAAAACGGTCCTTTGCTGGGGCAGCTGGAAGCAGGAATAACAGGAGCAGGAGCAAGCAGGAACAAACTGGAGTAAGGCATGATGATGCAGAGGGCCAGACCACAAGAGCATCATAGTGATAACTTGTGTTGCTGTAGCAAGGAGCAGCAGTGCAAAGAGACCTTTTATGTTAGTTCCCACAGCCTTCAGCTGCACCACATAATTGCCCCTCAGCTGGTCCAGATTCTGCAGACACTTTCATGGTTAGCCAGGCCCTGGGCCTGACAGAGAGAGAGAATTGGTGTGTTTTTGTTATTGTAAGCTTCCAGCTTTACCACAGCTCTCCTTTCTTCCAGTTGTAATGGTTTTGGGGAGGATGTCGATGCAATGCATCAGAGGCTGCCTCTGTGTTGTCACTGTAATTTGTGACTCAGTGTCTGTGGTGGCCATAGCAAAGCTCAGGGCATCCAAAAAATTGTTTGAGAACCAACCCAAGCTTGAAACGCCTGCATCCACTGCTGCCTGTACGCTGGGTGACTGATGCTGACACCAACTTCCCAAGCAGGTTTGTGGAGTTGAGTCCCCACAACCTGAGTCAAGTTTTCCCAGCATTTTCTTCATGGCTATCTGCACAGGAGGGCAGGGCACAACCTTCTTGCTGAAGGTGGGGTCTGGCAGTTGCTTCAGTGTACAGTAGGGGCCTATGCAGAAGCTTGAGGCAATCAGGGAGGAGAAGAACTGATCTTGCCATCTCTGCTGCTTTTGCTCCTACTGCTCAGTTTAAAGCCCAGCACTGAGCTCAACTTCTCATCCTGAATTAAAGAGCAAGGCAGACAAACACCTCTTCTCTGCCTCAAGAAAAAAGAGGGAGTGAATACTCTGGAAAGTTTACGAGCAAGTAAGGTTTTATG